ACTCACTCGAGGTTTGAGCAACATAAAAATTACCAATGTCTCATCTCATCTGATGATACCACTTTGAGTTTCTCCGTTTCTTGTTTGTAACCGGAAACAATCATCAAAAGTGTGTTTGTAATTTGGGATGTTTACAGACATCACCCCTGAGTATTAAGGAACTACCCAATGTTGTGATATTTTGATGATGTCAACTACTTTAACCTCAAGCAAAATTGCATTTTTAGTCCTGCTCGTTAAACGCTATAGCAATTTTAGTCTCAAGGTTCCAGCATTTCGCTTTTTAGTCTTGTGATTTAATATTTTACTGCTCAGTCCTTTGAAATTGCAACAAAATTTTAGATTACAAGACTTAAATTGCTAATCGAAAATATGGAAATTCGGGAATTTGTTGCAATTTCAGTCCCCAAGGACCGAAATTGAAGCAAAATATTAACTCACTGGACCAAAAGGTGAAAAGTTGGAATCTTGAGACTAAAATTGCAATGACGTTAAACAAACACAACTAAAAATGACATTTTTTTTGCCTTAACCTCAAGACTAGTNTTTTTTTTTTTTTATCGTTAAACTATATAATCTTGAAAATCTTAACGTTCTCTTCGTTTCCTCATTATTATTTTTTTCTCCACGACCACGACGAAAAATAGACTGGGGGTGGCCTTTCTGAATACGGAGTAGCCAAGGAAAACCAGACCGTCCCAAGGCCCCCAGAAGTCCCCGCTCCCGACGCCGCGGGCCTCCCGATCGCGGGCCTCACGGCCCACATGGCCCTCACGCAGACCGCCGGGCTCAAGCTCGACGGTACGGGCCCACGTAAAAACATCCTCATCACCGCAGCTTCAGGCGGCGTGGGCCACTACGCCGTCCAGCTGGCGAAGCTCAGCAACGCCCACGTCACCGCCACCTGTGGGGCCCGCAACCTCGACCTCGTCCGGAGCCTCGGGGCCGACGAGGTCCTCGACTACAAGACTCCGGAAGGTTCCGCCCTCCGGAGCCCTTCGGGTAAAAAGTACGACTTTGTGGTCCACTGCGCCTCGGCTTTCCCATGGTCCGTTTTCGAGCCGAATTTGAGCGAGAACGGGAAAGTGATCGACATCACGCCGGGGCCCGCCGCCATGTGGACTTTCGCGGTGAAGAAAATAACTTTCTCGAAAAAGCAGCTCGTCCCTTTGCTTCTTTTCCCGAAAGGCAAGGATTTGAAGCGACTGGTGGAGTTGGTGAAAGAAGGGAAGGTTAAGACGGTGATCGACTCAAAGTTTCCATTGAGTAAGGCAGAGGATGCATGGGCTAAGAGCATCGAAGGGCATGCCACCGGGAAGATTATCGTCGAGCCGTAGATTTAGAGGTAAAGAGGTAAGAAAAACTTGTGGGTTTTAAGAATGTTTTTACCTGTTGTGGCTTGGTCTTGGATGAACTCTGTTGCCTGGTTTTAAGAATGTATGGGGACATATATATATGTGTGTCTTGGTCTGATGATGAAAAACTAGTGAATGATAGTGAATAAAGTTGGCATTTGGGACTTATGGACCTCATTATTGTTTAGTTGTGAACTTTACAAGTTTTATTAGACTTGGATTGGATATGTGCCCAGGGTTAGTTTGAGTTTTACTCTTATATACCTAACTATTTATAATTATTTATTATTTTTTTATTTTTTATATGATTATATCACATCAAATTTAATCTTATTTTTATTGTACTAATTCTTTGTATACTTGATTTGGGTTTCATATACCCAATAGGCTCAATCTCCACACTCAGAATCTAAAATGTTTGGTGAGCACTTATAATAAATTTGATTGTACTCGTGTCTTTAATTAGTGTGACCAATTACTGTTCATTTTTTTTATTTTTTACTCCTGCAAGGCTGTAAATTTCTTGCCTTTTGATATCACAACAATTCATGTTACATTCTATCCGTGGGGATAGGGCTGCAAGCGGCTCATTGTCGCATGCAAGCGCTCGAGTCAAAGCCCGGCTCAAGCTTGAGTTTGACCGAACTTGAGGCGCATGCAAGCGTTCGAGTCAAAGCCCGGCTCAAGCTTGAGTTTGACCGAACTTGAGGCGAGTTCAAGCAGTTCAAGCATGTTACGAGTTCGAGTATGTTACCGAGTCGATCTTGAACATAAGTTTTGGAAGGTTGAGCCGCTCGCTAGCAGCTCAAGATATGTAGTGAATTATTAAAATATCCTTTATATATAAAATTACAAAATTCTTTATGTACTTAATGATAACATTACTTGAAATTTGAATCGAACTCGAACCAAACTCGAGCGATCTTTCGAGCATTTTGATTTCAATCGATCTCGAGCCAAGTTCAAGAAATTGTCTTTTTTTGTCGAGTCGATCTTGACCGTCATAAATCGAGCTCGAGCGAGAAAAAAAATAAATTAATCTTGCTCGATAAAGCTAATGCTCGACTCGACTCAGTTTGCATAAAAATCTTTAAAATCGCAAGGGCAAACAACACTCCTGACAAGGATCCATCTTAGCCATAACCAAAGAAAATGAACTCCGAAATCCAAACTTCTCACGACTCAAATGGCGACAACGCAAAATGTAGTGTCTCGGCAATGAAAAAAAGGAAAACGAACTAAGAAATCCAAAGTTCTCACAACTCAAACTCAAAATGTAGGCCGATTTTTCACGAGATTTATTCATAGATCCACGAGTGAAGGCTGCTCCTCCATTCTGCAATTCCTTCCGGAAACCACAGAGCAATCTCCTTCCTAGCACTCTCGACAGCATCACTACCGTGAATCACATTCCTGTTAAAAGAAACGATAAAATTCAAGTAACAATTAAAAAAAAAATGTCCTCCCAATAGATAAACCAGAACTAATCATGTGTACAAACAGATAAATATACTTTGGGCACAGAAAATTTACCTGCCAATATCAATGGCATAGTCGCCACGAATGGTGCCCGGGTCAGATTGAGCAGGGTTAGTAGCTCCGATTATTTTTCTACCTGTAGTCACCACATTCTTGCCTTCCCAAACCATGGCAACAACTGGGCCCGAGATAATGTACTCGACAAGCCCGTTGAAGAAGGGCTTTGCCGACAGATCAGCATAGTGACTCTCGGCAAAAGCACGGTCCACAGTGAGTAGCTTGAGACCTGAGTACAAAGTGTATGAGAATATGTAGCATTACATCCTTGACTCCAATTATCAAAACAAATCTAAGGAAAAGACGTGCTTGGATACAAATATATCTGCTCAAATCAAGTTTTTTGTTACTAAACAGAGTTAATTTTGAAAAAAATTGTATGATTAGTTGCTACTGGGATTTTGAGATTTTGTTAAAATAATATTTAAAATTAAATATTTAAAGTTAATTTGATGTGAAAGTGGGAGAGAGATGATGTAAAGTGATGGTTAAAATTATGTGCGTGGAAGAATAGTAAATTAAAGTTGATGTGATTTGTAAGAATGATCAATTAATATTATTTAATTATATTGATAATATTGAGGATAGTGGGATTAAATTAAAGTTGAATTAGATATTGAGTATGAATTGAGTTATTTTATAAACAAACACATCCTAAGATTTGTAAAGCACGAATATGGTGGATAACCCCATGACACAAGTTCTAAGCTCCATCATCTACATTTATCTAATATGGTGGTGGAAGGGAGTGAATATACATTCTTTGAGTTCTCAAGGTGTGCTTATTTATGGTTATATGAGATGATGAAACGTAGTAATATATCCTCTCGAGACATTGTGATTGTATGTTAAACGAAACTAAAACTAAATTTTTTATACTTGCATATCTAGCACAAGATGCAAACCTTGAAGATTAAAATACCTTGTACTTGAAACTCAATAACTTAAGAGCGACACTACACAATCTATAGAAAAAACACACAGGCCAACAATGTAACAAAAAACAAGAGGGGGAACAACAGGCAACGGTAATGTAAAATCATCACTACCCCAAAATGAAGTCAAATCAAATCATAATGATAATAGCAGGGAGAGAATATCCATTGTTGTAAAACCTCAACATGTTCTTCTAAGCTACTTAATTTCTAACACTCACTGCATTCTCACATTGTACAAGCTTCCAAATGACGCATGGGTCATGCTTATAAGCTTATTCGAGATGACGACACTAAGTCAAAAAAAATATCCTCTTGAGACATTGTAGTGTATGCTAATGAAACTAAAGTAGAGCTTTATACTTGTATGCATTGAAAAAAAAAATGCAAACTTGAAGCTTAAAAGATCTTATACTTAGAACTCAGTTAATTAAGAGTGACACTATTAAATCTATTGAAAAACATACAACCAACAATGTAACAGAAACAATAGGAGAACAAAAGGCAATGGTAATGTAAATCATCAATACCCCAAATGAGCAGCACTATCATTATAAAGTAGAAATGTGAGACCAATAAACTAATAAAAGAACATAGAAAGATTAGGGAAAATGCACCTTTCAAGGTGAAGCCTTTCTTCTCAAATCTACCAATGATCTCACCAACCTGCACAAAACAACACCACAAACAATTTTAGATCTATCGCAACCAGAGAAAACAACACTAAGATCACCAAATTTAACATATAATCCATAAGAAAACAGAAAATCAGATCCTCAATATTTTCCAATGGATCATATAGCCTTAAAGAAAGGGTTGCTCAGAAAAAGAACAGAAAATGAATAGGGTCTAATCTCTGAACAAATTCCAAATTGAGTAACCATCAAATTTTATATAAGAAAACACTAACAAAGACAAAATTGCTGAAGGTGCAAAAGCAAAGAATTAAAGATTGTGCGGAAACAAAAAAGAGCGAACAGATAAAAAAATGGGCACTAACGAGGCCTCTTTGAACGCCGTCAGGCTTGATCATAATGAAAGTCTGCTCCATTGTTGTGGTGCTGAGGCGGCTCAAGAAAACTGGTTATGAAGTTTCGAAGACGATGAAGCTATCAGCTATAAGAGAAAATTGAGGCTATGCTACGGCACACCCAAAAACCCTAATGAGATTTTTTTTTGTAATTTTGTTTTTTTTTTTTATATTTAACGAATATAGAAAAAAAAATTATATATATTGAAAAGAAAATGGAAAAAGATGAAGAGAAACTAAAAAAAAAGCATCTTTTTAGTTTTCTGTGCCATTTAGTCGAGATTGAACCTTAACAAGTCAAAATAGAGTCGAAATATATAAAAATATATAAAAATCATCTTTTCGAGCTTTATCGAGTCGAGTCGATCGCTATTTGTTAGCTGAACGAGTTTTAAAAGAGCTCGAGCTCGGCTCGTTTATCAAACAAGCTAAGTCGAGTCGAGCTCACGAGTTGCTCACTAATTTAACACTTATTCATGCCTGAACGCAGGTCAATTTAACTTATGTAGTCTTTGCATTTTGAGTCAAAGATGCCTATAAAAAAATCAAACAAACATTGCATTTTTTTTTTCGGTACATGATAGGAGGCAAAGAGCCTAACGGAATATTAAACGATCACATTTCGTGGGTAAGATACACCGATAAGATCGTGTTCTAGCCACGGTTTCACTCCCGTTGGTGGCGCATCTAAGTATTGAAGACCACCGGGCCTGGTTGAAGCTAAAGAAGCCAGATAATTCGCTGCAAAATTTGATTCACGCCAAACATGCACCAGTTGAACACTCCATTTCCTGGCAATCAGTTCTCGTATCCCTCTTATTAAACTTCCATGCATCCCCAAGCCATCATGCTGCCCATTAATCATTTGAACGACTCCCTGGCTGTCTACAGAGGCAATAACCTTAAGAGCATCCCAAGTTCCATGCGAGTTGAAGGCCCTGAAAGAGGCCCCATAATTCTGCGCCGACGACTGTTGTGAAACCAATATTCATTATAAAGCCACTAACCCATTGGCCACAAGAGTTGCGGATCAACCCACCAGCACTAGCCATTCCAGTCGACTTATTAAAGGCCCCATCTGAATTCAATTTAAACCACCCCTCGGGCGGTGCTAGCCAACGAATCATGCGATTCTCTCGTGTGATACCACTGCTTAAAAAGTTTTTCCCATGCAAAATAGCAGACTTGATCCCCAAAACATGCAGGTTCATCTCTCTCAAACGATTTCCAACATGAAACTCTTCATTTTTAAAAACATGACAATTTCTACCATTCCAAATTCTCCACATTGTCACCCCAAAAATGCAATTCCAGTCCTCCATTCCTTTGGCATCAAATGAGCAAAGGTTGTACCATAGCCGTTGTTTTAATTCCAAAGAAAAAAAAAAAAAAACTGGAAGTTTATTACCTGGAATTAGACTCTTCCAAACTTGTGCTGCCTTCGGACAGTCCCGCAGGGTGTGCAAAGTCGTTTCTGGAGCTAGGCCACACAACTCACATGTAGGCGAGGAAGCAAGGTGTCGACGGAAACGTTCAGAGTTCGTCATCAAACAATCTTTTGCCACTAGCCACATAAATTGTCTTATCCGTTGGGGGCCAACCCATTTCCAAATAACTCGCCACAACCAAAAAACAGTCGTAGTCGCGGCATCGGAAATGGAGTCGTAGGCCGATTTCGTAGTGAAACGCCCATCCCCCGAAAATCCCCAGTACACCAAATTCGGTTCACTTGTTTCACCCGGCGGCGGCACCGCTGCTATACGAAGCAGCACTTTAGCCGGCAACAAATGCGAGAAAATATTCCAACTCCAGTGTCCATTATCGGTACAATAATTTGCTACCGTCCAGTTGATGAAGGGTTGTGGTACGACACCCATGCAAACCTGAAGTAAGGTTACGTCAAAGTGTAACCATCAGTCCTGCCAGAACTTAATTTGCTTTCCATCTCCGACTGACCACCTTACACCTTTCATCAAGGTATCCCAAATTTTCCCCATGGCTCTCATGGTAACGGACCCCTTCGGTAGGTTCCCGTTCGTTAATAAATTCAAAAAATTTAATATATACTTGGCCTTCATGACTCGTACCCATAAGAAGAGCATCATTCATTTTCCTCTGGCACTTGAGGCCTAATCCTCCTTCATCCTTCGGTTTGCATACAATCTCCCACGAGACCAAAGAAGCCTTCCTATGTGTTGTAGTCCCTCCCCAAATAAAGCGGCGGCAATGTTTCTCCAGCTCGTCTAAGATTGAACGAAGTAACCACACAGTTTGCATAGAATAGAAAGGCAAGGTGCTAAGGACTGACTGAGTGAGGACAAGTCGTCCCGCTAGTGACAAAGAGGACGCTTTCCAATTCGATAAGCGAGATTCTGCTTTATCTAGGATTCTTTGATACATGTTCTTGTTGACTCTTCCATGAACCAAAGGCATACCAAGATAGAGGCCAAGCTCATCCACTTCCGTATAAGCCATAGATGAGGCGAGCAATTGCCTACTAGCTGGGGGTACATTATTCGAGAAGAAGATGCACGTTTTTGCTTCACTCACCTTTAACCCGGAGATGCTGCAAAACTCATTCAAAGTAGATTTCACCAGAATAGCTTGATCATAAGTGGCTTCAACAAATAGGAGAAGATCGTCCGCAAATAGAAGGTAAGGGATATCAACCTTCTCATCTCCTCGACCCAGTCGAATAGGCCTCCACTGCCTCGTTGAAACTCTGGCCGAAATTAAATGGGCTAACCGCTCAATGCATAGCACAAAAAGATAAGGAGAAATAGGGTCTCCCTGCTGAACACCCCGAGTCGGGCAAAACTCTTCAGTAGTTACACCGTTAAATTGTAAATGCATAGAAGCCGAGGTAACACAGGCCATTACCAACTGGATGTAGTGAGACGGGAAGCCCGCTAAGTACAAGGTTTCTTTCAAAAATCCCATCTCACATAATCGTATGCCTTTTCGAGATCAACCTTCACCACCATGTATCCCTTTTTCCTCGTTTTCGTTTTCATAGTATGAATTAATTCCTGAGCCACTATAATATTGTCGGTGATGTAGCGACCAGGTACGAAACTTACTTGAGCCGGACCAATCGACCCGGGTAAGATACTCTTCATCCTATTGGCCAAGATTTTTGTAACCAATTTGTACACCACATTCAACAAACTAATAGGCCGAAAGTTCTTAATTGTCTCAGGGTTTTCCACTTTAGGGATCAGAACAATCAGTGTTTTGTTCAAAAAAGTCGGCATAACACCATCCAGGAAGAATTGACGTATCATTGCACAGACAGAGGGGCCCACAATCGACCATTGTTTCTGAAAAAATAGCGCATGGAGCCCATCCACTCCTGGAGCCTTTAGAGGATGCATCTTCATTAAAAGGTTAAAAATTTCATCATCTGTAACGGGCTTGCCAGTCGCTGACAAGGCAGCCTGCTCAATTTCAGGAAATAAATTCGAGATGCTAATCGCCTCTTCCGGATCGGGCCTAGCCGTGTAGATATCCCGGAAATAATCGATAGCCATTCTCTTTAGCTCGGTCGGCTCCGAAATAACCATTCCATTGGGGTCTTTCAAAAAAATAATTTTATTTCGGCGCCGGCGATTTTTAACTTGTTGATGGTAAAAAGACGTATTTCGGTCACCGAATAAAAACCAATCCCTTTTAGACTTCTGTAACCACAACAGTTCTTCTTGCAGCAAAATCTCTTCAAGTTCATTATTCAAAATGCTCTCCAAATGAAGAAGCCTGGAGGTGGTGTAATTCTGTAATTCACGCTGAACACCCCCAAGGCGGCGTAGCAGCCTATTTTTCTTCTGGAAAATATTGCCGAAAACGTCGGTGTTCCAGGCCTTTGCTCGATCAACAAAGGCCATCGATGCCTCCCCATAATTCAAACTATCGTTCCACGCTCCCTTGACCACCTCGCCAAAATCTTCATGCAACAGCCAAGCAGCTAGGAACCGAAAAGGCTTTCTTCCTGCTGTAACTCGAGGTTGACCACCATATCTCATAACCAAAGGGAAATGGTCCGATCTCCGACGTGGAGGGTGAATGACGAAGCCATCTGGATGTCTATCAACCCAATGAATGTTGGCTATAAATCTGTCTAGCTTTTTTTGAACATTACCACGAACCCAAGTATACTTCAGCCCATCTGTTCGTACTTCATGTAAGTTATTATTAAAAAACCATTCCGCGAAACCCGAGTCAACATTGCATTTTGAGTCAAAGATGCCTATAAAAAAATCAAACAAACATGACAATGGAGTATACAACACACACATTCACAAAAAAAATATAGACGCACACAACCATTATCAAACTTTTTATAATGTTTTATTCTCCTCCAAGAACATATGACCAAATTCAGTTCATTATTTAAAATCCAAAAGTTTTATTTTGTTAGAATCCTAGTGGCTTTTCAATATAGAATCGTGATGTTTTCTTGTAATGCATCTCTATACACTAAAATTGTTATTATCTCATGCATGTTATTATATCCATTTACCTGTGATTCGTATTTAAGAACACATGGAGATTCAGAGTAATAGTAGAAATTTGTTGACGGGTAAATTTAAACTTTTGATGCTTTATCTTCAAAGCTTGTTGCTAATTTGGTTAAGAATAGATTTAAAATTCATAATTTTGTTGCTCATTGTAATACAAACTATGAAAGTCTTGATCTATAATTTTTTTTTTTTCTTAAATTTTATTTCATCTTTCACCATATCCACATTGTTCAGCCTTCTGTGTATTTGATCATAATCTCATTTTCTGCAAAGATCACACAATTTATTACCTTTCATTATGCAGTATACCCAATCTATAGATTGATTTCAACCTTCATCTTTCAAGTTTCAACTTGTTGTGCTTGAGCATAAAAGTACATCACAATTCACAGCATTGATCCATTATGCATCAGTTCACAATTATCTACTTCAAAATAATGCAAAATTATGCTACCAACTTCAATCAAAGGAGCGAAAACCATCTTGTTGATAAAAGGCATAATACGGCAGCCACATGGCCAAAGCTACCGATTTTAACCTCGAGTGATTCTTGCAACAAACCATGTAAAATTCACTTGAGATTTTTGCCACAGGTAAAAACCAGAACCATATACGAATTACTGTCCATTACACACTTCATAAAACAAGTACGTTATCTAATTAATATCACGCAAAGGTTTCTAACTAAACTTCTGAAGATTGGAAGAACTGCTCAAACTCTGAAACTATGCTCCGAGCATCATCAAATTCCGAGCCTCCTTTTTCTCCCGACTCTTCCAGCTCAGCCTAACATCAGTTAGATCACATTTATGTTATAAATAAAGTAATTTAGAGAATAGAGAGAATGAAAATATCTAGTTTTCAGTATTCATATATTTCTTAAAATACTCGATATGCAGTATAAGATCTTCTATCACTTCGAAAAATAAAGGAGAGAATACTACCGAAACAAATTGTTTTAGAACATACAATCCAAAGTAGATCTATTAAAAAGATATTTAATCTGTCACCCAACATTATAATGAGATATAAGCAGAATATGTGTCCCCACAATCTGAAGCACTTCGCCGGAAAAAGAAAAGAAAAGCATATGTAAAAATATTAGCATTTTACATATTATATAACCTCTCCCACACCCAATGTATTGGCAAGTATTCGAAACAGCTATAATGTGTATCTAAATCTCAACTTCTTGCATTATTTCATTCATTCAAATACACAGACTTCTACTCACAATAATCAGATTTTTTATAATTATCAGAATCACGAATTTGCAACATTACGACTTACTAAAGTGTCTTTAAGGTCAGCAAGAGCAGCCTCCAAACGCTTGCGGCAATCAGGAACCATCATCCGTGATTCAGCCAACACATTTTCCTGAACAACATACATTAAAACAGAACTTTTACCAAGGCCCAAGCAAAAAAAAAAAAAGAGAGCAGTACATATGGGATAACTCCAAGCAATAGCTCCCCATGGACTTGAAAACCATCCAATAACATCTCCAGAAAATAGATATTAAGACAAAAAGGGAAAGACTGAACATGGTTCCATTTGATCAAGCAGCTCAAAAATTTCCATCAATAGACTAAGTACACACTGCAGTTTCGTGTTCCTAGATTTGAATTACATGATAGCTTCCATTATGCAAACTCAAATACCCTTTAACATTTAGTTTAAAAGCTCCTCCTAACAGTAATTTATGAACATATAAACATGTTATGCAAGAAAAGTTATAACCTTAAGTAACCCAACATAATACATTTTCAGCATCACAAATTCTTGTGGACCTTCTTAACAAATATACATACTTATTTAGTTTATGTTATTTTTTAGAGTACTAACATTTGTTCAAAAGAATAGCATTAACCTCGTAAAATCAACATCAATCAAACCTCATTAGGTGATGAACATCAACGAAAATCGAAGATCGAAGAGATGCTATAGCTACTACAACTGCTTCAATCTAAAATACTTGAATCTCAGATAAATGTAAACCCATCAACCAAAAGGGCCTTTACAGTAGCATATCAGTGAGCAGAATTGAAACAAGAAAACACTCAGAATTACAAATTGGGACAGAAAATTAGGCAGACAAGTAAAGACCTGTTGCTTGAGGTCGTATGGATCGGCCCCTTTGGCCTTCATGTCGGCGGTCTTAGCGGCCTCCGTTTCGACCTCTTTCTCGTAGGAATGGAGCTCCTTCATTATCCTCTTGCAAGTGGATGTTTTGATCTTCAAATTCCTCAGCGTCGCCATTTTTTCGGACCTTTTGTTTTTCTGCACTCTGCTGTAATTGAAGCGAAGAAAATGAGAGAAAAATGGAAATGGAACTATGTATTCTAAAGGATTTTTTTTTAGCACAATTGCACAAAATTGGAGAATTTAATACAATTTG